TTAAGCGTCATCTAGCCGTAGATTATTTTCTCCACCAAGAATTGATTCCTGCTCTCTCCTAGCCCTCCTCCCTCTCCCCTCCCCATGGTTGTTATTTTCCCTTGGATCCAATAAATTAAAAATTGATGGCAGCTCAGAAAATGTTGTGCTCCGGCGAGTGCGCATGTTGGTGCCGTTCAGTGTTGCCTGCAGTCTCAGCCCCTCCCCGAATGCTCACGCTTTCAGGGAGGAGAATGAAAAGATTCCTCTGCAGATTATTGGTAAGCTTGGGCTCGCTCGCAGAGGCTCTGTCTTCGTAGGAAGCAGGTGTGAAGTCTCCAGTCGGATGCAGAGCTGGGCGGATGGATGCAGAACATTTCTTGTAAACATGCATACACATCATGATGGCGGCTGTGACGTTGGTGTCACAGGGCTTTAAGAGCCTGGCATCCCTCCCCCCTGCCTATTTCCCCTCCCCACATCCCGTGTCATGGAAACAATAATCCTGCATGTATTTCTCCTGGATGATGGGTTAGCTGTTACAGACAGGCATTTGGATTTGAGTCAGTGCAGGGGAAGGGGAACAGGGGCCCGTGTCTGTGTGCACAGCAGGGTATGTGCCCTGGCTCTGGGGATAGCAAGCAGCTGCCCTCTTGGCTGGAATGCCCAGGAGGGCAGGTGCAGGCCATTTGTAGAGGTGGACCAGGGTGGGGCACTTAGAGCTATGTGTAGGGGACTCTCTGGCCAGGTAAGGCCTTGCTGAGCCCTGGAAGCAGCTGGGGATTTGCTGGCCACCAGCATTCACCGGCCTTGGCATTTCTGTCTTCTGCCCCAAATTCCTTCACAGCAGAATTGAGACCCAGGGAAGTCTGTCCTAGGGTCAAGCGCCTCCCCTTCCACTTAGCCACGAAGCCCATATTATCTGTGAAGCCTGATTTCATTGCTTCTAAATGCATTTATCAGCTGGGAGAAGGCCCAGCCTTGTAAATAAAATGTGGTTTTGTTGTAAGAGAGAAATCTAACTGGGGTGTGTGTGTGTATGTGTGTGTGTGTGTGTGTGTGTGTGTGTGAGAACATGTGTTTGCTCATGCGCTTCAGGGTCTAATGTCACGGGGCCCTCACAGCCTCTGATGCCTGACATCTGAGCAGGCTGCCAGCCGCCTCCATTCATTCTTCCTCTCAGTGAGTCACCATTCAGCGACCCCGCTCCTTCATAGGGTCCATAGTATTTGGGGAACAAGAGTGTGTTGAAGGGCTGCCTGACACTTGGGGAGCTGCTGGAAGACCCCATCTTTTCCTTAGTTTTGAAAGCCTGGCTTTGCTGGACAAGGCTGCAGAAGGGGCTTCACATTTGTCTCTTTCCGAGAGCTTTCTCTTCTCTGGGTGGCAGGGCTGACCCTGTGTCCATCCCAGCAGGCACCTGAACCTCTGGGGTGCCCAACCTCAGCTGTCTCCAGGCAGAAGAGCTGGTTCCCGGAGGTCCCAGCACCTTTCCTCTGTGCTCCTTTCAGGGCTTGGCCATGTGGCGCTGTCTCCTTGTCTTTTATTATTGATACAGTTCTAAGAAGGGACACACACACACACACACACACACACACACACACACACCCTACACATCCAGCCCGGTATCTGCCTGCGAGCGGAAATGAAACCACAGTGTTTGGGGTGTCTCTGGAGGCCTTTCAGCCTGAGCTTGCAGGCCCAGTGCTGGTCCACTTGCTGTGACCTACAAGTCAGGTGGTTTTGGGGTTGCCTGCTACCTGAATGCAGGGGCAACCTTTCTGCCTTCCCTGAGTAAGTCAGGTCAAAGCTCAGAGCCCCACGGCCATTCACAGGAGTTGGCAGGGTGAACACACTGTCACCTTAGGAAGTTTTACATTCAGTGCTGAGAGTGGGCAGGGAAAGGAGCTTCCTGGAGTGTGTGGGGGTCTGGCCCCTTCCCCCCCCAGCTCCCTTAAGGGCCCTGTGTTGGAGCATGGTCCGGGGAGGTGGAGGCAGGAGTTCAGAGCCAAGCCTGCAGCCTGCACAGTTGAACGCTATCCATGGGACCCAAGCAGTCCTGGCCCCCAGCTGTGCGGCCGTGAGGGGACTTGATGGTGAAGCCACAGCTGTCTTGCAGCGACCAGCGCTGGGGACCGTCAGAGTCAGTTACCAGGGTTCACAGACCTGCTGCCCAGGGAAAGTGCAGAGGCAAGGCGAGGCAAGGCTTTCTTTCCCAGGGAAAGGGAAGAATACCAGATGTCACAAAAAAAAAAAAAAAAAAAGCAACAAAGAGGAACAGCCCTGGCAGAAGAGTGACGGAAGGCAGGGAGGGTGCCTAGGAACAGGCCGAGGTGGCCTTCGCTAATTTTTAAATTAGTCTGTGTTTCTTCTGAGTTAGACAATGTGTTTCAAGTTTTGTAGCTTCCAGCTCCTAGCGGAGAGAGGAGCCATTCCTGCTTGTTAGAACCTCTACCCAGGAGGGCAGAGGTAGCTGAGAAAGTTAATAAAAATAATCTTAAAAAGTCCACTGAAGATTCAGTTAACAGACAGAAAGGACTCCCTGGCCCGGGAAGGACGATCCAGTCAGGAGTGTGGATCTGTGCTTGCTGTTTGGAGCACACTGTGGACCAGGCAGCGTGGCAGGCCCCGCAGGGGTGGCCTTCACGACCGACCTGGGTATTTCACCTACCCTGGCTCACTTCAGGTCTCAAGTTCATTTTGTCTTTTTTCCCTTTTCAGCTCACTTCCTTTGTGCTTCTTCTTCTTCTTCTTTTTTTTTTTTTAACAAAACAATATTTTGACATCCTCCTCCCGTTTATTAGCGCGCCTCCTCTAGGAATGGTGCACAATACATCCTTATATTTCTAAAGAACTGTTTGCATAGTCCTCTCCTTTGGCTCTGAAATTATGTATATGTAATTGGTAATTAAAGGTGCGAGCTTTTCAATATAAACAGTATTGCTCAATGTTAGATCGTTAAAGGGAAAGGAGGCACCGAATAATTACCTTTTACGTTCTGACAAACCTTCGCAGGAACCCGGTCTCTCCCTTGAAGCACTGTTGAGCGTGAAGGTTGTGATTACATTCTAAGCAGAGCAACGCATCTTTTCATAAAATAAATTGGTAAATTAATTATGTAGCATTGTCTTCGAACTCCTTTTTAAGTAAACTCCGATTTCTTTTTAAAGTGTAATTAATGGTTTCTGGGACCGGCTTTGTGAGGCCTGTTTCTTTACCTTGTTGGATCTTTTTGTTCGCGATCTGCACACAGTACATTTAGGATTTTTCTCGTCTGCGGGGTGATTTCGTCCTGCCACGTCGCTCATGCCTTTCCACGTTTAGTTCTGCGGCGCGTCTGCTCTTGCGTAACCTGCGCAGGCCCTGCAGGTGTAGCTCGCCCTCGGCGGCCGCTCCCTGCCTGGCTGCGCGCGGTCTGTCCGTGCGTGCTCCGGCTACGTCACCAGTCACCAGTCGCGCTCTGCAGCCGGTTTTTCGCTCGAGCTCTCCCAGGCCCAGAGCAAGCCTGCGCTCCGAAAATACAGAGCAGTGATTTGTATGGAGGGTGGAAGATGCCACAGAATTTTTTCCTTAAATTAGCTCTTCTTTGGCTCTGGCACGGCAGTAACTTCACTGCCACGGAATGTCTTCTGCTCTTTCCCGTCCCTCGGCCTCATTCCTCTGCGGCTTTCATTACCCTTCCCTAAATACCACACAGTTTAGGATTACCTGCGTCCTCGGGGCGCCAGCCTTTGGTTGTCCCCTGGCTTCTCTGAAGACCCCAACACTGGTGTTTTCTACTCCACTACTGACATATGCTCAGAAAAATTCCAAGCCAAGTGCGGTCAGATCCCGAGGGGAAGAGGAAACCTCGGGAGCACTGTCCACCTCCCATTACCGATGACACTTTCACTGTTTCAGTTTTCCCCTAAGGGGGTGGCTGAGTTTTGAGATATTTATTAGCTACCAAATATGGGGGTCGTGTACCCACCATAAAACAAAATAACACAGCCCTGCCCAGCAAACAAAACTCAGTAACAACAAAAAGAAATTTTCTGAAGAGCTGCAACGGCATGCAGCCTACTGAAAATGTGCTAGATACGTGCCAGGAAATGCTTTTGGCGTCTGAAGATTTTTTTCTATTTCTTTTTAGAGGGGAGCTGCAAATAAAGTCAACCTAGGACCGGGGCAGTGGGAGCCGAGCAGCGCTGGGAGCTGCACAGAGCGGTGGCATGGCCACGCCAGGCCCCCCTCCACAGGCGAGCCCAGTTTCAGAGTTTCTTCTGTGGCTTTGTTTTTCCTTTCCATATTTTTTGGAACCTGACACTCACTTGTTGCTTTCTGAGCATGTGGGCTTTTTTTCTCTCTCCCCGAAGCCCTGGCCCTCTGACGCACCCGTCTGTGTTTCTGTTTTCTAGTCTGGTGCGCAGCCAGGGCTCAGGTAGAGGAATGTGAGGGGGACGGACATGAATGGGGAGGACACAACATGAATGGAGGCCTGGGGGGAGGGAGGTGGCAGCTCCTGCCCCAGCAGGGTGACACGCTCTAGCTCAGTGGCTCTCAGCCTGGGCTGCCCACGGGAACCATTTAGGGTGTCAAGGGAAATGGTCACCTTTGCGTCCCAGTGCAGCGGGTCTGGGGTGCTGCTGCCCCGGGGGTTGGGGTTTTCAAAGCTCCCAGGTGATGCTCAGATCTCTCAAAGGTAGCTGATACTGTGAGCAGCTTGGATGCACGTGGCGTGCACGTGAACACGGACGTGTGTTCTCAGGGCGTGCAGGGGGATGTTGGCCGCAGGGATATGGGAAGCACTGAGATCAGCTGCGCCTCAGAGCCAACCCTTGGGAGCAGGGCTGTGCTCTGAGAGCCCCAGTTTGCCCGACCATCGCGAGCCAGCCCTGGGCAGGCCTGGTGCAGTCCAGCCACCGGCAGTGAGGGCACCTGTTTCTTGGTGGGAAAGGGCGGGTGGAAGGCACACTGGGTGCTTATGGCCGCCTAAGCCCATCTGTCTTCTCTGCCCCTCCCCGTCTCCTTTCTGTCTCCAGCAGAGGCTGACCATGTGGAGGCTGCCATCCTCGAGGAGGACGAGGGTCTGGAGATAGAGGAGCCTGGCGCCCTGGGGCTGATGGTGGGTGGCCCCGACCCTGACCTGCTCACCTGTGGCCAGTGTCAGATGAACTTCCCCCTCGGGGACATCCTGGCTTTTATAGAGCACAAGAAGAAGCAGTGTGGCGGTAGCCTGGGTACCTGCTACGACAAAGGCCTGGACAAGGGCAGCCCGCCACCCTCCTCGCGCTCCGAGCTCAGGAAAGCGTCTGAGCCCGTAGAGATCGGGATCCAGGTCACCCCTGACGAAGATGACCACCTGCTCTCACCCACGAAAGGCATCTGCCCCAAGCAGGAGAACATTGCAGGTATGGACACTGCTCATCTGGCTGTTGTGGAAGTCTCTTCCTGGGCCCCTCGCCCTCCATCTGAGGGGATCAGTGCTGCGGGTGGTCCAGGAGTTTCTGGGATGGACTCCGGGCCACTGGCGGGGCTCTCCCTTTCTGAGGACCCACCATTCAGGTGAGCCTCTGCAGGAGACAGGCCTGGGCTTGGAGAGGCCCAGCTGAGCTATGCTGAGTGCTTCGCTTGGCTGAGGGGATTCTGTCTTGGGGCCTCCTCCAGATGTGATCAGGGGCAGAGGTGAGAATTTGGATGCCTGCTTGTCCTCGTCTTTGGTGATCTTGGATCTGCTTGCTGAGTCCTGGCTTTGGAGTCAGACTTGATTTGCAGTCTGTTTTTCACAATCAAGATGCGTCAGTTTCCCTGTATATAAAATGGAGCTAAGGAAACCAAGGTTGAGAGGGCTGCTGTGGGGGTGAGGGAGAGTGGCAAGAGGTGGCAGCTGGGCACCACTTAGAAGTGGGAGCTCTCGCCTCTTCTGCTGGCTCTGGGCTCAGTTTCCCATCTGTGTTGAGAGTGGTAGGCTGCTTCTCGTGTTGCATAACTGAAGGGTAGGTCTGGGGAGGGTCGTGGGAAGCTGGAGCGCTGTGCCCTCGGGGACTTGGACATGCCCTTGGGCACGCCCACTCGGCTGACCTGGACAGCTGGTCTTACCACCTGTAGAACAGGCGCGGGCCTCCTCTTCAGGCGCAGCTGCGTCCTCTGGCAGGGTGTGCTCCTCGTGGGACTTCTCGCCGGCACCCCAGGAGCCTCTGCTCTGCAAGCCAACCTGAGGGCTTGCTTCTGGTTTATACTTCTGGCCCCAGCAGGCCTGGGCAGCCACAGGGCCTTGGCCTGCCCATGCTCCCTAAAAGTGGTGGCGTGTCCTGGAGCCAGGCTGGCATCAGCGCTCATGCAGAGGAGGGTTTCAATGCTGCTGGGGAGGACTGACTTTGGTTAAATGCTGTATGAGTCCCTGCCTCAGTTTCCCCATTTGTAAACAAGGAATGAGAATCCAGGAGAGGACTTTTCTCTCCAAGGTCCCCTTTGTCACTGCAGCACCCAAGTAGGTAGCTGGATGGGAAAAGTACATGGCTAGATTCCCAATGGAGCCTTTTGAGGGCACTGGATTGCTCGCAGGAGGGGAGACAGATGGGCATGAGTGGGGACCACCTGTCACCTCTGAGGCTCTGGGCCTCGCTTTGCCCACCTGCACATGGGGTTAATGGGATGGCCTGCAGATTCCCACAGGAGCGTGCTGGGCAGTGCGGAGGCTCCAAGGGTTCTCCTTGACCTGTGCAGGTCCACCCAGCATTTCCTTCAGCAGGGCTGAGCCCGCAGGTGAAAGAGGCTCTGCCCCCTTCTCTGCTTTCTGATTCATGAGAGGAGTCGTCCAGCCTGGGATGGGAGCCCCGGGGTCGGCATGCGGACCCTTCTCAGAGCGGCCTCCACAAGGACACTTGTCCCCTGCCTCTGCCTCGGTGCACAGCTTGCAGCTTCTGCCCAACCTCTCGCGTCCTCTTTGCACCTTGTAGAGGTGTTTCCTGCTGCTGCGGGGCTGTGGGTCCGCATGGGGTGCTTGGCTCTGGAAAGTAGCCGAGTGTGCTGTCGTGAGAGGCAGTCAGTCCCCTAGGGAATTTTTGTCATTCTTAGGTCCCGCCTGCCTCCCCTTTCTTCCCCTTCCCCTTCCTCTTCTTTTTCTTTTTTCTCTCCTCCTTCTCCTTCTCCTTCCTTTTTTGGGTACTGATATTGCAGCAGCCTTCAGTAGGTTTATTCTGTGTGTAATGAAGGATATTCCTGGCCTTTCTGTTCAGCAACAGGACCAATCGATTTCTTCATTCTCGAAGAAATATGTAAAATCATCCCTTGGAAGTCTAAAGAGATATGTTTGTTCAAAGCATTTAAAATGCTATTTTAATCAAAGGCAAGAACAGTCTCCATGCTGTGTCAGCTGTAGCCAACCGGCCCATTTTAACAAATCATCACGCACTTCCTTTCTAGTCTCTGTTTTTCCTGTTTCCCTCCCTACTTTGGTCCCAACTTTTCTTGCCTTTTAAAAAATTTAATAAAAAAGGAAAGATTAAAGAATAAAACTTCAGTGGCTCAAATGTATAAAGTAATTTAATATGGTGGGAGCATTAATTATTTTAGCTTAATTGAATTCTGAGGACTGCAGCCCTTGCAGTTTTGTAGACAAGCCCTGTTTATTATTTCTCTGTGTAGATTAACAGTAAAGGAAACACAGATAACTTTCAGTTATTTATTGTAAAATAAATGTGTCAATTCATGTGTAAAGCAAGCTGCTCAAAGATAATTGAGTCTTTATATTTTAAGAGGGGACGAGGCTACTTGGGCGCTTCTCTGCCCAGGCTTCCGGAAATCCGCACAGCTGTTTCCCAGGCCCCTGCCTCGGCTGCCTTTGCTGGGACCCTCACGGCCTGCTTCTTCCATGGCTCCACGGTGTCCCTCAGACCCTCCAAGCCCTGCTGCTGTCCCCATGGCCTTGCTGGCCCTGGCCAGCAGCTGGTGGGCAAGTGGCATTCCTTAGGGGGACTCTGCTCTGGCTACCCGGCTTGGCCTCCCTTGCGAGGGCCAGCAGTCCTCGCTTCTCCTCTCCAGCAGTTGCTTCTAGGACCTGGGCGCTGGGGAGAGGGAGCTCCAGAAATGGGTCAGAGTGCTGGCTTGTAAATGTGTGAGGTCCGTCCAAGCCTAAGTGTGCCCCTGGGACAGAGACGGCTTTGGAATTTGGATAGGTGTCCCACCAGGTATATAGATCTTGATTGGCCTTTTCCTAGGAAGGGTCGTTCTGGAGATGGACATAGAAGGGTTGCTGCTGGTCTTTTTAAAAAAATATAAAGTAGAGGAATAGGGAGGTAGAAGGAAGAGGAAGAAGTTTCTGAAGCTGTGGCAGAGGTCATTTCGTTCATTCATTCATTCGTTCGTTCAGTAACTGACTGTGGTCCTGGGCTCTCGGGCTCCTCACATGAGATCATGTCCCATGTGGGGAGTACAGCTCACAGGGAGCTGGGAGCAGCCTGGCCCTGGCTGTGTGCTTGCCAGCCAGCCCTGTCCTCCGAGTTGGCCGAGGTCCTGGGCAGCTGTACCTGCAGACGGGTGGAGCTGGCCGGAGGCTGTGCATCAGGCCTACTGCTCTGACTTGAGCAGGGTGGCGCTGCTCTGCCCAGGGCACTTCTGCGTGTTGCTTAGATCCTTCCCTGCTGCCATACTGGGCTCAGCCAGGCTCTGCTGGAGGACAGCCCCTTCTGTCTAGGGCAGACAGGCGGCCCCCAGCCCTGGGAGGGGAAATGGGGGGTGTTCCAGGGCTGCCAAGGGCACCAGCTGCTGAGCGCCTACCTGTGAGGGTGTGTGAGGAGGGAGGGCTTGGAGCGTTTGGGTTTGAAGGCCACGGGCAGGGATGGGAAGAGCACAGGTTGGCCTCACCCTGCTCGCTGGCAGCCCCGGACATGCGACCTGACCGCCTGGGCCTCAGTGTCTTCATCTGCACCACTGAAGACTGGGTCTGTGGTGTGTGCCAGGTGCGTGGGGCTGTGTGGGCTTCTCCCTCACTGTGTTGGGCTCTGATGCCCTTTCCAGGATTGGAGGAGCCGATGTGGGTCTCCTGGGAATGGACTCCTGTTAGTGTTAGGGAGAAACTCCCATGGGTCCTGGAATCCCACCTTCAGAGATAGAGTCGGAGGGACAGACTGGTTTGTGTCCAGCCCTCTGCCATTTGTCACATTACTGTCACACTGGTTGGTGACTTCGAGGTCTTGGTGTCTCTTGGGTGGGATCCTAGTGCCATTGTCTTGCTGACCAGTCCCCTCACTTTTCCGGCCTCACTGACCTTGTCCCACGATACATTTTAGCATCAGGCAGAGCGCTGAGTGAGCTGAGCATGGGAACATCCAGGTAGCACAGGCCTGGGCTGGAGGAGGACCAGACTGGAAACTTCTAGAAAGGCAGGCTGAGGGAAGCAGGGCCTACGCTTGGTGTCATACAGGGTGCTTGTTTTTCTCAAGACCTAGAAAAGTGATCCAGGACTCTGTCTGCACCGCCTTCCAGATATCTCCTCAAATGCCATTTGGATGCCACTGGAGGGGTCATGCCTGGTCGCTGTTTTCTGGGTTTTGCCTGTTTTCACCTCTTCTATGACCAAAAGAAACTCTGCTGAGCAGGAGGAAGTAGCTATCAGCAGTCACTCATAGGTTTGATGCCCTAACCCCAAAGATCCGTTTTCTGAAGTGGGGTGGGCAATGAGTGAGAGGAGGCTGCCTGTGTCCCTGTGCTTGGGGGTGACAGGATGGACCTGCTGAGATGTCCCTTTCTGTCTGTGGGAAGGGCCAGGGAGGAGCCGGGGCTTGGGGATCACAGTGACCTGTTGCTGAGTGAGATGTGCTATAGAAAAGTGACTCAGAGGAGCTTCAGGATTTTCACGCTGCTCTGGGAATGTTGCCTTCAGACTTAGAAATAAAATAAATATGAAAAAAAAATATTAGTGTGGCCAGTGGGAGAAGCTCAATAACTTGCTTGTGCTGGAAAGTGGAGATAAACTCCTCTAGCAGGTTGTCTTAAAAAACTTGCATTTGATCTATTTGGAGTTGTTATTTTCCCTCTAAATTAAGATTAGTTAAATCTGTGTGCGTCGTGGTATGGATTATCTCTTTTTATTATTAAGTCATGACAGCTAATTACTAGCTCTGTCTGCACTGAGGAGCAGGGAGTATTCTGTCCAGGGCAGTGGCCCTGGGTTCTGGCAGGGGCTAGGTGTTGCTGGTGGCCTCAGACTGAGGCAGGGTAGTGTAGAAGAGGGGCTCCACCTGCTGTACCCCTTTGTACTGGGCGGCTTTCTTGGTTCCATCTTTTAATTACTCAACCTGCAATAGACGCTTCTAATCTGTGTGAATTTGGGCTCAGAAAGGTTAAAGGGCGTGGCCAAGGTCATACAGCCCTAGGAAGGCAGGGCACTGTGCAGTGAAGGATGAATAGG